GTGTCAACTCAGGGTGTGGTTTTGTGCTTAAAAGCTCATTCTGAGAAAGGTTTGGGGCTGCATTGGTGTCACAAACACCCAGTGAAGTCTCTGGAAGAATATTAAAGACTTTCTATTGGTCTAAACCCATGTCCAAGTAGCCTTTGCTGGTAGACACCCCACACCATGAGCCCAGGACTTTCACAGCTCTCATGAGTGCTTTTATCATCATTTTTATCACTTCTAAGTCGCAATGCAAAGGAATGGTTTTCATTATAACATTTTCATACATAAATGTCACAAAATATTGCTTTTACTTGTCCCTCCCCTCACTGTTCTGCTTTGCTTCCTCTTTCCCCCTCTTTTTGTCTCCTCATGCTCCTCTATAGACTTCTTTTCTGATTTTGTACCCCATGTAACCTAATGCTTTTAAGGCTGCCTACTTTTTCCTGTAATCCAGTATATGAATTCAGCCATTCCCTAGGCACCGCTACTCCAATCCAGAAACACCATCTCCTAATCCACTCTTTAAGTAACAGTTTGAAAATCAGTTCACCGTGGTGTCTATTTAAGTAAAAAAATTAACATTCCACTTTCTTTTCGCCTAAGCACATTCTGCAAGGGGAATAGATGTGAGCCATCATTTTTCTGAAATTTCCTATATATGTTCAAGTATATGAAATATGCTTTTCCAATAACAATACTGCTGCCAGAGACAGAAAACTGGGGCCATGTTCACTTGGAAATCAGGAATATTGTGTGCCGGGAACACAAAATCAAGTTCTCATTGTTCCTTTCTAACAGTTAGAGAGAACTTTCTATTTCCTGATATGGAACTAACATAATAGTAACATTTTTCTCATTGGCTAAATTGTTCCTAAATGCAAGTTAGAGAAGTTATATGGGTGGGCAAGGTGCCTGCCTAAGGTATCTGATTGGTCTAATAAAGAGCTGAATATCCAATAGCTAAGCAGAAGAGGGATATGTGAGGCTGGCAGGCAGAGAGGATAAAGAGAAGAAGAAATCTAGGTTTGGAGGAGAAACAGAGAATGAGGGAGGCACCAGGGGACAGAAGCCAGGCAGCCATCAGCCAGTCAGACATAGAGACAGCAAGAAAGTAAGAAAAGGTAAAAGTCCCTGTGACACGGGTTAGATAAAGAGAAACGGGTTAATTTAAGTTATAAGAGTTAGCCAAAGAAAAACAGGTTAAGAGTTAGCCAAAGAGAAACAGGTTAATGTAAGTTAAAAGACTTAGCCAGAAATGTCCCTAAGCTAGACTGAGCATTCAAAACTAATAATAAGTCTCTGTGTCATGATTTGGGAATGGTTGGTGACCCAAAAGAAAATGCCTGGTACACTTGGCACCCCGTATTGGGTGCCAGACGAAGCATTTATCTAATTATTCTTTATCAGTAAAAACTCAGGAGTCAGATACCAGGGTAGTAACCTGAATGATCAGAGAAGTGACAGAGAAGCAACCAGGGACCTCCTTTCTCTCTAGTTCCTTGATCCAAAAGGAACAAGATCCAATCTAAAACCTGCCTTACTACTTCCCATGTCTCTCTATCTGTCCCTACTCCTCCCAAACCTCTATGATTAATTTTGCTCAGCTAGTAGCTCGCTCCTCCATCTGATTCAAAGCAAACTTTATTGCCAGTCTCAGGAGTATCAGGATGCAATCAGTATTTCAGACAACAGGCTGCATAGTCCCAAACTGAAAATCCTTGACCTCCTTAGTCCTTTAATGAGTTGTGTATTAGTATCTAGATAAAAAGGTATGGAAAAATGGGCTACTGAACATGGTACATAAGAAACATATGGAACTCTTGGATGTTTCAGGAGCAGCAGGTGAGTCAGGGCTAAGAGGGGCAGAAGAAAAGAGAATATGAATTCCTATCCTTAGTGAAATCTACTAAATTTAAAAGCCATTGGTTTAGCTAAGTATTTGGTAGAAGGTAGTAGTCGAGGGAGTCTGGTCCATCTGGGAGAACAGGAGGAACACAAAACAAGACTTTAAGAAAAAGGGGATGATGTAGAACTAGGTTCCTGGTAAGTTCTGGAAAGAAGTTGCATTTCCCCAGTCTGTAGGTACCTGATTGAATTAAACCTGCATGCTTTCGTATATGATAGTGTCTAAATTCACTGTATTATTTATGAGGGCATGACTTTATTTTTATGTCAGTTTAACTTGTCCGTAGGAGAAACAGTGCATTTCTTTCCTATGTATTATGCTTTAACGCTTAAGGGAAAGATAGCCTAAATTGGTGGTAGTCAGAATGGGACGTGGGGGCAGTTTGGCCTTTGGGAGATGTTTCTTAGGCTCCACCACAATTTCTAGTCATCACAATGGAAAGTTGCCTCTGTTACCTGTGAGTAGAGGCCAGTGATAATGTTCAGTATTCTGCTATGCACAAGAGAGACCCATTGCTAAGAATTTATGACCCCACACTTCAGTTAGGCCAAGACTAAACCTTGTCTTAGAACAACCACTTACTTTACAGAGAGAACTCACACTTCAAAGAGGCTATTGGTATATGCCAAGTCTCACTGAGAAAACTAAAGAGACAAATCCTCTATTGCATTCCCAGTATGCCATTTAGCTTCTGAAAGTTAGCATTCTACATGGAATTGATGGAAAAATAAACACTCCTGTGAGCACATTAGACTTTAGATATAGTATGTATTTCTACAAATCTTTAAAACACAGTACCACTAACAAGCATTAGGATGACCAGGCAAGGAGGAGAACAGAGAATTCAATTATGTAACACATATTTAGATATACTACAAGAGCCATTTCTGTATTTGATCAAATAACAACCCAATAGAGTGGATCTTCATGCATTTCACAACTGCTTGGAAACTATAAGAACATGTATTGTAAGAACCTACATAGAGAAGTTATACTTGGCATGTCTACAGTGAGGCCTGAAGATCTTCTTTCCTACAAATTCCATGAAGATGCTGATGTTGATAGCCAGATCACTGAGAACTTCTGGCCTAGCATGTGATGAGGAAATAGCAAATGTTGGCCCAAGGGTATAGGTATTTAAAACTCCAATGTACTCCCATCACCTTTAGCATAGAGTGATTAATGTTAATTCACACAAAGGAATAAGTGGCAGGCCCAAAACCAATTTAGACCATATTTAATTCAAATTCCAAAACATCTAAAAAGAAAGAGATCAGTATGTTTTTATGTTCTTACATAAAGCAAACAATTCCTCTTACAGAAGCCAGTATAGGCAACATTAAAGTAAAACCGGAAAAAAAAATTGAGGATGATAGTGACACCCGAAATATGTCTGTATATACATATACATGTATATTCCAGATGTATAGATATGATTATGTATGTATTCCTTATTTTTAGCATTTTGTTTCTGACCCCAAGTAACCCTGATCAGATGGGGCTCCTGTGCCAATTTGCATCTATTGACATCGGTAAGATAAAATCAGGCCTTTAGGGAGATGTAACTGTCTCTTCAAATGATTTGGGAAAATCTGTACATCTTCAATCAATTACACATAGCACAAATGCAGCCTACCTCTACCCTAAGTGACCAACATCTCCCCCACCTCCAATATTAATCACAGCCTAGTGAAAATGACACCTAGGGAAACTAACTTCCACAACACTTATTTCCAGTCTGTTATTTCAGCAATGCCCAGTGCTTCAGAGAGTTCTGCGCAGTCTACCCAGAGAGCATGCTGTACTTATACCCCTCTGTGCACCAGCGCTCTCTTGGAGACACCCAAGGCAAACATGAGTCAACTTTCCACTCAGCCCTTGGAGATCATGGAGACAGTTGATAAAACCGTTAATTCCTTAACTCCTACCATGGACTCCAAATCACAGAATACTGCTTGCCAAACACACATCGGAAGCCAAGCCTTCAAATGTGCTGCATCTACCCCCAACTTTTAAAACCCCTCTGTCTTTTGAAAGGAGGCGCACTCTGTTGTGTCATCATCTCCGGGTTAACTGAATGAGTGTTCCCTGCCAACCTCCTGCTGCTGCGGCAAACTCACTCTGCGGCTTGTCCTGCATTTTCTGCAGCGTGCAACTCTGGGGCCGCTGTTTTTCCTGCAGCAGGACACGGTGTGGGAGAGTCTGAAACAGAATCAGTGCTCTCCTGCTTTCACTCGTACCCTTAGAGGAGTAACTGTTCCCGTCAAACCCCGGGCTGGTCCCTCCAGATCTCCTAAGCACAGTCTCTCCGGCGTTAACCCAATGCAGTTAACCCAGCCTCATTCGGTGCTAGCATCAAATGACACGCTGCTGCAGTGTTCATCTTGAGACTAAGTAGGCAGGATTTATTATCTGCGGAAGTCCCCCCAAGTGCCAGGTTACTCGTGCTCCATTCTCGCAACAGAGGACGAGTACAGCAGACACAGAGCTCATTTCCAAGACAAGCAAATTCACAGTTAGAGACAAGGGCAGCACAGCAGCCAAGACCTGCAGTAAATCTTTTCTGGCTCACAGAAATCTCTAACAATGCTCTTCTGCAACGACTCAGATTAAACAGATCATATTTGGTTTGCACATCAAATCAGCAGCATAGAAAAGATGCCTGATTAGCAAATTCCAATTTATGATGCTTTTGCTCATATCTTAATGCTAGGAACAGTGCAAGACTTCCAATGCTTCCAGTGAATAATCAAGCATGCTGACAGAACTGGAGCCTCTTAGCAATGCCTACCTGCACCTTTCAGCCTGGCTCACAGGAACCTGCCAGGACCAAAGGAAGAAAAAAAAAAAACAACAACAACAACAACAAAAACCCCAAACCACCGAATCATGCAAATAAGTATTTACCCCGAAAGATGTATGTAGTTAAAGTTCAGCTTCCTGCATCTTCCATAGCCCCTGAAGTGTTAATCTGAAGAAACAGTTTCATGAGTTTCCACAGGCCAGTAGTGAGTCTCCTACACTTGACCTAGACAGACTTACATAACGAAGCATCAGTGCTGGGGAGCTTGTACGATGTCATCACCAGCAAGAATAAGAAGTATTGGCAGCAGTAAGCAGGCGGGCAGGCTGGGATTTTGCATGGAAATCATGAGCCCTGCCTTGCTTTTCTTTTCTGAAATGTTTTGGAAGGAGAGTTATGAATAGCCCAGAAATAGGTCTCATTTTTGTGGGTGGGAAGAATGACCAGAAACATGAAAGCTAAACCTTCCAGCAAGTGCAAGGTATTTCTCGTGGAGGGTGCAGTGAACCCGGGAGGAGGAATTGCCTTCTGTGAACTTCTAAAGCATCACATCTGGAGGGAAGAGGACGGTAAAGCGGTGGCATAGCGCAGAGGATGCTGCTGAGAGCTTCGGTCTGCCTTTAACTCATTGTGGTGAGAGAAGGGGGATGTGGTGATACGAAGTGAGAGTTGGGATTGCAGGTTGTTTTGCAGAGAAATAGCCAAAGGATTTCTCATAGTTTTAACACATTGTTTTAAGCAAGATGATAGCAGAATTGCTTTTCTGGATAAAATTGAGACTGTGCTGGGCACGGCTGTTTTATGTATTTTAACTCCTGATGGTCACCTGGGAACAGGTACACATTTCTGTGGTTTTCATATAAATGTCAGATATCATCATTCATTTTACTATTTATACTGAAATACAGTTAATGATTTTTCTCATCAGATTTTGCATATAAATAATCATTTTTAGACTTTGAAAGCAATCTCTATGAATATGTCAAGGGATTTCTTGACATATTCATAGAGATTATTTTATCTTTTTTTGTTTTTTTTAAAGATAGTCTTTGTTAGATTCACTTCTTAATACCTGAAGGAATATTTTAAACAGCAGAATATATATATATATATATATATGTATATATATATCTTGATTACCAATCAATTATCTCAAGTATACATAATACAGATTGCAACCTTAAGACCTACAAACAGTAAATCCAGCCTTCCATCTGAGGATGATGATATTATATCAACATACTATGACATCATATTATTTAATAATAAGTAAAATCACGGTTTTATATGGGTTGTAGACTAAGCTATATAGTTTCTGAGGTGACTGAAATAGAGAAGCAGCCATGCATGCACTACTCAAAAATAATCACAGTGTTCTGTTCTTAGCTAGGAGTTTGCTGCTGATTTATCACATTGAGACCAGGGTGAGGAAAGGAGAGAATGCAGGTCTAGGAGAGAACACAGTGATCTAATGCCTCCTGCCGCTAGTCAGCAAGGAAACCTGCTATTAAGTGGAGTCAGATGAGGCTCAGCTGACATAGACGAGGGGAATGGAACGTGGCTTCAAGTTTACCTGGGATTTTGCTACCACACTACAGTAAATGTTTGTTTGTTGGTTTGCTACCAGAACATGGGTGAGATTTATAAAGATTTAATTTTTTTTCCCTCAGACAAACTATACTGTCATTAAACATTTATTTGCTTTTTTGCAGTAGTCTAGATTTTGGGAAAACAAATTCTGTAGAAGATGGAATGAGAACTTGTCTGATTCCCCCCTCAGAACCATAAAGAACAGTAAGGAGCATACTGGCATAACATTGAGCTGCATTTGCAAAGTCATAAGTTGTATTTGGAGTATTAAGTGATAGAGACTGGGTTGATGTGGATTATGTAAGAGGCGTCCATGCTTTGAAGTGTCGATGACCAGGGAATCAACAACATAGGAAGTGAGGGTCTGGAAAATAGGAATCACTTTAAAAAGTTCTGTCTTACGTGGTTTGAAGAGCACTAAAGCCTCTTGGAGTCAGGGACAGTGCTTTTCACACTCGTCTCTCTGCCGTAATGACAGTGCTTACTGTACCTCATTGAATATTTGCTGGAATAGTGGGAGAAATAGGGTTTGCAATGAATTAATGTACAGGGAGCTGCATCTCCTATGGTTTGGTAGAATTCCCTGTAAAATAATTTTAAATTATCTATAAAATTATTCATTAATACCTTAATTTAATATGTGCCTATGTGAATGAATGCTTCAGCAATTCTTGTTTAGAAACTGTTCTTACAGTGTTTAATGGAAAGGTTCTACTATTAGATGGAGGCTGTACGAGTTTGACCATACATCAGATAGAATGTGGTATCCACAACCTTACACCAAAACACATTGTTTTTCCACAGTGATGCAGTCATCTGGAGGGAGGATTTCAGAGTCAGGCCTGCAAACTCCTTATCTTTGCTGGTCTGAGCTCGGTTTTCTTCCTCTGGACTATTTGCAGCCCATGGCTTTCGTCTTCCTACTTGTTCTGGTTTGGTGTTAGGGTGCTTGGTGTCCGACTCCAGCGGGCATGGGGTGAGCAGCCATGTCCCAACGAGCTGTACCCTGCTTTCATCCTCCTGCTTGTTGCCTCGTGGCCCCAGCGTGGCTGCCTCACCACTGACATCTTGCCTAAACATAGATGAGAAGAAACGGGAAATGCTGGGTACTAGGTCCCAGCAGATCAGTTGTTTCTCTAAGAACATTTCCAGAGGGCCATCCTGAGATTGATCTACATCTCATAGTGCTGAAATGTGTAAAATGCCTTTCAAAGGAATGTCAAGAACAACTGAGTTTTGCTATGCCATTGCCAAATCCCAGCAAAGCTTGGGTTCTGGTTTTAAGGCCAATGTGGTGTTCCTCCATGTATTACCTGCTTTTGTCATTGCTGTGACTAGGCATCTGACAAGAAGGAACTCACAGAGTTAGTATCAGTTTACAGAAGGGATAGGGTCCTCCATTATAAGGAGGCATGGTGGCAGGGACTTCAGGCGGGTGGGTGGTCACATGATGTCCAAAGTAAGGAAGCAAAATGTGGTAACAATCCCTGCTAGCTGGATTTAGATAACTCCTGTTTCTTCAGCACAGGTCCAGCCTATAGAAGCACCCACATTTAGGATGGGTTTTCCCATCTTAGTTAGTCCAATCCCCAACAGGTACACATGCACTTGTCTTTCTCCCTGGGATGCTAGTGACCTTGACAAGTTGACAACCAAGGTAAACCAGCACACTCTCCTATACATTCTTCTTACTTTATAGTTTGGATTGCTGGTGAAATTGTAATGCATTTAGCAGTGCCTGAAAGTTTAAACTTGCTTAAATTCCAAAAGCACTAAGACTTTATTTTTAATTGTGTGTTTGTGTATGGTGTGGGGTAGACGTCCCTGTGAGTGCACTTGACCACAGAGACTGAAGATGACAGACTTCCGAGAACTGGAGTTACAGGCATTTAGTTGTTGGCTCCCTAACGGGGGTGCTTTTATTGAACTGGGATCCTATGAAAGAGCAATGAGCTCTTGAGTCCTGAAGCATCTCATTTTATAACTGTGTCCTTCAAGTACACTTGTTCAAAGGCTTCTTTATTAAAACAAAACAAAACTCACCAAGAGACAATAAATGGATTCTGAATTAAACCTTAACTCTCAGGATCTCTGTAATAAGTAGAATTCACCCTTGCAAATTTATCAACTAGACTTAAACTACTAGCTGATCCATGGGCATCTTTTTGTTTTCTATCAATTTAATTATATAACATTGCTGTTGGCCAGGAGCTAGTCTGCATCCTGGGACATGGATATACTCAAAAACCTTACTTACACATTTACAGGGATATGGTTAGACCAGAATGTGAGATTGCTAATTTTACAGGAAAAAATATGTATCTTAATTTATCTTAAAACCAATTTTTATGGACAAGATAGTTGAATTCTAAAGAAAAACCACAATTGTCTTGAAATAATCTCTTCAAAAGCAACTGCATATTGCACTAGTCTTTACCCACTAAAATCCAGGTGCAGTCAGTGGTTTATATATGTATATATGTTTATGTACATATAAATATATAAACATGTACATATAAATATACACACAAATATATATACATATACATGTATATACATGTATATGTGTGAATTTGGTAACATATACTTGTTTTTGTTTTATTTTTATGATCCCTGAATATAATCTACTTTGTTTAGCTTTCTCTCTGATGTTGACCAGTAACAATTTGTAACCTTCCCTCCCAAATGTTGGCAAACATCCATAACCCACCAAATAACCAATAAACCACCCACCCCAACTCCTGGGAATGTGGACATCATGTTCTATGGGCATCTATGGTTTACTGTGGATTGGGGCCTTCAGAAAATTGGGAGATAAAACTATGACATCAAGGTTGGACAAGATAAATCAAAAGAAAGAAAAGAATCCAAAAGAAGGAATAAAAACAGGGGCCCAATATCGTGTACACTCGGAAGTCCCATAAAAACACAAATCTGGAAGACATAATATATACAAAGAGGACCTGGTACAAACCTGTGTAGGCCGTGCTTGCTGCATCATTTTTTTGTGAGTTCTAATGAGCTTTGATCCGGTTGATTTGGAGGGCTTTGTATTCTTGGAGTTCTCCATTTCCTCTGGCTCTTAAACTCTTTCTGTCTCCTCTCCCATTTTCACCCTTTTATAAGTGAGAAAAAGAAAGATGGGGAGAATATTGGGCAGAGATAAAGGAGTGCTAGTCATAACATGTGTTTGGTTCAATGTATTTAATTCTTTACAAATCCCTAATTTAGCTGCCTTTTAGAAACCTGGGTTATTACCACCAATCTGACATTTGTAAAGTACTTATGAATGTCATCCCCTATCTCCATGAGATTGGCATCTTTTATGGACCTCTGTGCCTTTCTCTGTCTTGTCACATGGAAAGGAAGTATTCTATTAACCTTCTGTAGAATTACATAAACGTGAGGTGGAAATATGTGTGGAAATCTCTAATTCTACTAGAAAATATTGCACAGAATCTAGGAGAGCTCAACCCCCAACTTGGGATGTTGATTGATGTTCATAATTTTAGTGGTGGGGTCAGACTCGTGAAATGGTGATGATGAGATTTTTTGCAAAGCGTTGCTCTGACATTATTGTGAGCAACAATTAGTCCCAAGATGCCTTTTATTTTGGGGATGGCAATCTTAGAAGTGATTTTCCAACTAGATGAACAGCTGCAAATATCTTCAGATTTGAAAGCACTTCTCTTTCTGCAAGACTGGCAAAAAGATTCCAAATATGAATGATTTTGCACCTACGAGGAACTATTATGTCAGCATACTTAGTTGTGTATGATAAAATCGCCTCTATTTTCCGAGGCAATGCACATTACAGATCAACCAGTAATAGCACCCAGAGACTGAAGAAACTCTGGTTTTGATGTTTTCCAATGTTTTCCAACAAGGAAAAACAGCAAAAAAGAAGAAATTTTTCATTTACTACTGTGTTTAAAGACAACATATTTTGAAAACACATTAAAATATATAATCTTTTTTAAGTGATGTAAGCCAATCTTGAAATGTAAGACAAGAGTAGATTAATGTATAATCTTTGAGCCCTA